GGTATTCCGTGACTTTCAATATCTTTTAGCCATCAATGTATCCATGCATGTTATTCAATGCTCCACCTATCCAATATGTTCACTCTTCGTATGGGCGTATTGGCCTATATCACGCATCCTACTACCCACATAACTGATATATTGATATATATCTCTCCTCTTCGCACAGGCCGGGCATGTTGGTGGGTGCAGGCGGCGGAGACTTCAATTCCGACAAGCGCCCCGGCATGGGTCCCAAGGCAAACTCGGGTTTCGATATCACTAAATTAGTTACCATGGGTATGTGGACGAGATGTTAACGTTTGGATTCGATACTGCAAGACGTAGTTGCAGTGTGTATGCCTGTGTACCTATACTGTAGGTCGTGTTGTGATGATTATAAGCACCTATTCAGGCACCATAAAACTCATGAGATTATACACACCTATTTCGTCACCATGAAACTCATGAAATTATACTCACTTAATTCGTCACCATAAAACTCATGCACCTATTTAGGCACCGTCGCCCCTGGAATAGCGGGTGCTCCTGGTACAGCAAATCTCAGCACAGGCACAACCACAGGCGGAGGCTTGTTTGGCGGCGGGTTTAATGCCAGCAAGCCTGCGTTTGGGGCTACCACACAGCCAGCTACAAGTGAGTAGAGTGTGTATATTGTATGTGTGTGATGTTTATATATAGTGTATGTGTATGGTGTATAAATATATATATGTATTTGATTTAGTCGGTGACTGATTGTGCGGACTTATGTCCAGAGACGTGGGCGTGGGACGTGTGTGCACAGGGGATACACAGTGTCGGTTAGAACATTGATCAAGGGGTCTGGTACTAGGTTATATATTTGGGAAGGTCATGGCTGTGTGTGCGTGTTGGTAAGGAGATTAAGTTGGTATGCTGGCTGTGATGCTGTAGGTTTCACATATACTAATTCATGATACATTCAAATCTTGGACGCATGCTTTTGTTTTTTGTCGCTTTAATGCCAAATTGGAAAGTAACTGCCAAATTGATTTGGGTTTGATATCAAATACGCTGTATTGATTCCGAGTTGCAGCTATATAGTACCAACCACCATGTCCCCTCCCACGAATTTCGAGAAGATCCGAATGTGCTCCACATATTGTGTTGGCTTCCCACTGTCCTTGATGTTGTCTGTGAGTACTAGTTACAGTTATGGCGGTTCGTTCTCCCAAACCATCTACGTTGTATCGATTATTGATGTTTGGCATTCGATTGAAAATGCTGCAGGCGGCTTTGGGGGTTTCGGTATGGCCGCATCCACTCCGCTAAAGTCAACTACGGGTACGTGCCATGTGACTCGTAATCCTGTGTAGCTAACTCGATATCCTGTGTAGCTGACTACTTTTTCTGTGTATCTTTTCACGAATGCGATGCATGCATTGTACGCAAGGGCTCATGAGTTGAGTGGGTTTGCAGTGATAGATATGGATATGGATATATATATATATATATATATATTTATATATATATATATACCATCTTGACGGATTATAAGTATGGCTCCCCAATATCTGCAGCTGCGCCTGTATATGATTCTACGTATGCGTATGTATATATATCTGGGCACATTCACTATCAAGAGAAGTGGCCTAATAACACTCGTAGACCACCGTACATGCGAACTTCACCGACATAAGCGGGACATACAATACACAAGGGATAATTCCATACACCTTCAATATATTATGTATAATTATGATTCGTTGCCTTCTCGTCAATTTTTTTTCTTCTCATAAACGCCTGTATATGTACTCTTACACTCTTCGCGTGTCGTGGCTCTCAATAGGTGGGCTATTTGGCTCATCCATGACCACAGCAAACACGGGACTAGGTGGCTTTGGACAATCAAGTAAGGGCTTCGCTCGTACGTGATTCAATGCGCCAGTTATTATTATTTCTTAGCGATAGTGGCATTGCCATCCTATTGTTGCAACCTTATTCCACTGCTGTCATGATATGTCTTGTCTGAGATATGGCCACATGCTTCTGCTGTCTGTGCGCGTCCAAACAATCACTTTGTTCAGTTGTGTGCTCGTGGTTGTTTGTCTGTGTATGCGCCGTAGTATAAGCGGCCTTTTAGTGTTCTTTATTTCCTATTTCGAGCTCGTATCCGTGGATCCAGGCCTCTATTGACCATTGTAGGCTAGTTTTATCCAGGTTGATTTGTTTGGCTTGCCACATACTTTATTTCTGGATCATCTCTACTTATACCTCCTTGATGTGTTTCATCCCTTATTTGTATACTGTAGCAACGAACACTACCGCGCCATCCGCCACAGGATTCGCCGGCTTTGGCGCTGGTATGTTTCTCTGACAATCAGACATGCAATTTGTGGCTGTGGTTGTTTTGCTGCCATCTCTGAACATCAACAATGATTTACGGAAAACATAGCAACCGGTTTGATGTCGTATGCTAATATCATTGGACCGTCAATTGAGGACGATACGTATTTGTTGCTGTACGCTGTTGGTGGATCAATTATACAAGTAACGACTGTTGTTCAGTGTAGTCATTGCGGTGCCTAATTACTACTACCATGATATTCTAGATATCACGGCACTGTTTCGTAAATATTATATTACGTCAAGGTATTGCCACATCGCCTCGCATATGACTATACTCAGCCGTTAAACTAGTATTCAGCACCCATCAGTATATAGACTAACATACAACACACATTCATTCATGTATCTTTTCACCACCATCTGCATTCCATCTATTGATACCTTTACACATGTATGTACTCGTTCTTCCTTATTTCCATTCACCATTCTACTGAATGTTCTATAAATAGCTTCCAAACCAGCTGCGACACCTAGCACAGCGACCTTCTCAGGCTTCACTTCAAGTGAGTATATACTTCCGGCTATGTACATTAGTATTTGCTCTCTGACTGTGCATATTCGTATAGACGCCCACGCTGTGTACACAAGCGTATGAGTTTTGCAAATCCTTCATCATTATTTGAGCTAGTATAAATGTGGTTAACCCCAATCTGAGATTTGGTTGCAAACGGTTCAATACTGCGGTAAACGCGGATGTGAGCGGTGTAGCCCAACTCCCCACGGGCGATGGCATCCGCCATAGTACCATGAGTAACTCTGGAGTAAGCAACCAATTTATTATCTCTCCCACACACACATATATGTATATATATATATATATATATATATATATCTATAGATGTATATAGATGTATATAGATGTATATATGTATATATATATATATATATATACATATATATATATATATATATATTTCATATATATA